GTCTCCAAAACTCCATCTGATTTCGTTGATCGCGATAAATAACGAACACCACGGCAACTGACCTCGGTCAGTCGTGTGATCAATGTGAACCACGAACAGATTAATCGATAAAGCGTTTAACATGCCCGGCTTGTTGGTTTGTTGAAAAGAAACCATTCATCATAGTATTTCACTTCACATCTTTGTTTTGTACGCTTTTCCGCTTTCATAACAGTTCAGATCATTCGATTCATTTCTTTTCCTTCTATTTCTCAAAGTCCGTGGTCTTGTTCTGGTTTCCTTTCTGCTTTTTTGGACCACTCTGACTCCATTATCGATCCCGGATATCACAAAGAAAAACCTCGTCCATCGTATGGTCTATTCTGATTGCGGTATGTAAGCTGCAGCCATCTGTACTATACTCATTGATTACCCTACATCTCCGCTGTTTCTATACTAAAGTTTTGTGAGAACACTTATTCTATTTTCATCATCTTTTACAATTTGATCTTGCTTCAAGCATGCTTCAAAGAGTTCGTGAAATATACCATCATTATTAATATTATTATTATCATTACCATTATTATGAACTGTCGAATAGTCTGTGTGTGCCTATAGACCCGAAATGAGTTGATACCTAAACTTCCACTCAGCACTGAAACACGTGTAACGGAGAGCTTAACAGAAATAATTATATACGAGAAAAAGTTGACAATTTTTGTTCTCTGTTCGCTTCATTCGTTCGGGACGGAGCCTAGACACATTCGAATAGATCGAATAGAATCCCACACCGACCCTTGAGTACACATATCGGACCAACACGTTACAATGAACAGTATCACTCAGCCCTCGCTTTCACAAAGTATGGAACCTTAGCTGTAGATATTCTGACTTGCGAAGATCCATATGATACGGGCAAACTATCAGTTCAATTCTTCATCCCTTGTGTGCTCGCTCACATTACTGTTACAAAAAAAAAAACGCTCCGGTTTAAACCAATCGTAGACCACGAGAGCTTTGATGATTTTCCATTTGAAAAATATTGATGACATACATGCAGATACAATAAATATGGGTGAAAAACCTAATCATTTGTATGTTTCTTCCATTCTGACTAGTGAATCTGGTCACTTGGTTGGATGGGGCGGTAAGGTTACACAAATGAACATTTGTATCATCTCCACCCTCCCTTCATCCCTCGAACCCATCCAAAGCGACTGTTCTCCTTCTAGAACAGACTGGAAATTGTTTTGGACAAGTGACACATCAACCAAAATTCTCATTAGCAGTACGCAGCTCAAATGGCAGAATTGTGAAAAAACGTGTTTCAAACGAGTTCCAAAACACCTACCGACAGACAATGAGTGAGAAATACGGCTGCCACAGTACGTTGCCAGAGGTCGTGAGGAGTACGTTTCTTGGCATTGGTCTCAAGCCATGCAATGGAACGATAGTGACTCGGATCCAGTTCCTTCGGGGGTAAATCACGCTGACCCGAGAATGCAAACAACGGGGAACGATGAAATTGTTCCGATGTAGCACCAGTACCCGAAATACGTCGACTCTGTTCGGAAGAGTGGTGCAGCATTGTATGGGAGAGTGGGAGACAATTGGTTGACTGTTTTGCCGTTCAGTTGTTTAACGTTTATGCATAATGTACGGTGTTTACACACTAAATTAGGTCACAACTTTTAGTATAACGGCTCGTTTCATAATCTTTTTGTTCTTTGTTGATTGGTACTTTATCTAATCAAATAACTCCAAGTTCCTCAATTCTGTGTCACGCCGAGTCATAGATAAAATTCCAAGAATGATTCACATATGAGTTAAGAATAGAATAACACTTGAGCAACAAAAATATTATTTACAGCTTGATGAGTTGAACGTTGTGGTCACACTTGACCACAGAATCATCACAATGATTATTTTAGGCTTTTTTGTTTCAAAATCAACTCCCTGTGCTGCAAACGAGTTTTCCTTAGCCTATTTCACAGTGACAGTTCCAGTATAAGAATGAACAGACAAAAAATACCGCAAACGCATAGCTGCCGAGATGCAAGGATCGCGAAATCTGTAGTGTGTTTTCGAGATATGTTGTCCAATCATTCATACACTATTCATTAGAGAAGTACACTTCCAGAACAAATCACGTTTTATAAGAGGTTGAATAAGTGGATCTCGTGTTTGTGGCTTGAGCTTACTGATCATTTCGGCGTCCTTCCTTAGTTCCAACTGTGAAGAAAGCAGAACCGAATAGCAGCACGCTGGCTTGGTAATTTGTTGATCGGTTTCAAAGATAAGCGCATATAGATCCATCGACCAATTAGGGGAGAAAACAGAGTAAACAGCCTGGGTTGGCTAAATGTTCCGTTCTGATGACATGGCTCAATTATGGTTCAATCGAGATTGCCTAAAGTCAATGTGATTCGCAACCTGATTGCTTGTCAAGCTCGCTTGCAATCGCTGACGATTTGAAAGTTTCTTCTCTGCACCGTATGAATACAGCAACAGGTAAAATAGAGAGAGAGAGTAACATTTGACTAATCCACCGAAAAACGTTTGAGGAGAGATTCCAAACGGATTCCAACTGGTCCCGTTTACTTGTCTGGTGAACAATAAACTATTCCTCCAGATCAGTGCGTAGTTGACGTGCACTAAGACATAGAACGGAAATTCTGATGTTATTGTCACCACTCCTCATGATCCTCTTTAGTTTGTGTATAAAACCAACAGATCTACTTTGATGCTGTGTCTATCCTGGCCCATTTTATGAGCAAATCATCAAACAGCTCTGCGAAATTTGTTCGTTGTGTTTTTCTCAATTATGCTTCTGCTTTTGCTTGTGTATCCCGGTCATCTCTCCTTTTTAGACCTGAATCTTCTGACACCCCAAGACAGCTGCTTTCATGGCTTTCTGATTATTTCACCGGAACAATCCAGTGTACAAAGCTGGACAGGAATACCTCAAGTTCTCTAATCAATAATTCTGGTGCGCTTCAAGGTGCTGTCCTCTCTCCGTATCTATACTATGCTTTCATTAGTGATCTTTCGGTTCCACACCCTGTTCATATCGAAAATGATGCTGACAATGTCGCTTTGTGTCAGACGGTTTCTTCTTCTTTGGAATTTTCTTTCTTCCCTCAAAATCTCTCCTCAATCGAACAGTTTTCAAACCAGTCGGGCCTTAATCTTAACACATCGAAGTGCTTGGAGTGCATTTTAATTCTTCTCGCTCTACATTCCCGTCGGACTCTGCAACCCCTAATTGCAATCTTTTGTCTAGAGTGACCTCAGCCAAATATCTGAGTGGTACTATCGATAATAATCCTCGGTGGTCGACACGCATTCAGAACTGTATGGGAAACTTTCGGCGCCTCTCCTTTCAGCTTCGAAAGCTCAGACAATTTCACACTGGTCAACAAGTTTTGTTTTCCTTTATTAATCAATGCGTTCTGCATATTTTACTCTACTGCTCTCCTGCAGAGTTGCGCGGTCTCCTGAAACAAGACTTTAAAACTATCCGTCGTGGATTGATGATAATAAGCCGTTTATTTTTAATTTCTGCCTAGTCAATACTCACAGAACTTATTATTGGTCATATGAAGTCTTGTATGAGCTTTGGCAATAATATTCTAAACGACCCCATCCATCCTTTGCACTTAGACTTATCTCCTTGTCGCGCCGACTCGATCACTTATTGCTCTTATCGGTACCTAACCTCCCGAATAAACATTTATTAAAAATCCACTGTACCGTTTCTGCCTCGAATCTTCCCCAAGATGGAACGGATTACAAATGAATTGCGTCAATCTTTAACTGGATGAATCAATTTTTAGAGATATTTATTTTTTCACACAGCACTCTATTGAATTTATTTACACTTCTATATATTCACTTCAGTGTGGCAACCAGTGTACAATTTCTAACTGAAATGAAAGCATATATGTATTTGAAAAAGTTAAACAATTAAAAATACAAACACAGTCACATTTCCGGAGTCTTCCTTTCTCCCGTGTTATATTACAGACCATGAACCGATGCATCGGTGGAAAGAATATAAGATACATGTAAGGAGTCAAGACTACTGGTATAGCAACGGAGAAAAACCACATTTCATGCAAAATTTGTGTTCAGTGAATACATATTGGTCGCACTATAGCACATCTGACAGAGCGCTGTAAACGATCAGATTTTTCAGAGTCTCTCAGCCATGTTGTCTTGGATTCTTAGGCGAACTGCAGTATTCCAGTAGATCTTGTTCTTCTTTCATAACGTTTTCGATAGACCAACATAATATTTTAGGCTCGCAGTCTAGACTCGGATGTGTGTGTGTTTGAAATAATCGCCATATTATTCACTCACGCGCACCACCGTGGTGATTGAAAACAAAACCAATTTCAAACTGGTGCCGTGATGTCTGTCTTCCTTGTGTATGACCTGTCTCGGACTTCAGGAGTAGGACAATCAAGATTCATTCTGGATCTCATTCACACTGAGAACTTTTTATCCTGAAACCGATCCAAAATCAATTATGAACAGTTTGGAACCGGTTCAAAACCGGTTTGTGATTGGTCTAGGAAAGCTAGTCGACCAATGAGAAAATAGGATGTTCACCATGACAACGATCCAACCAATCAAATCGCAGTAAATAGTTTCCATTATCCAGTAGGATTGAAGGGGCGCAAACAGCCAATCAAAACCGTCAAACAGAACTATATAGGCCCAATCTCACTGAGAAATGACGCTTCCCCTAAGTCGCACTGATTATGTTGCCTAGCTTGGCTACGTAAGGTCTGCGAAAACAGCACTTCCAGGTCGGAGAACTCACCAACACCAATACCTGGAAACGTATCAGCGCAATCGTGGTATTATTTAGCGGCGGGACGTATTGGCACAAGTCATGCTGGCGTTTATGAATTTTTGTGAGTCTCGTTATGGGAATTCTGGTGACCAGGCAAAAGTGCACCATGTCCTCTGGCATCCTCATGTGATATAATATCTCTTCTTTAATCCATTCAGGTTTTTAACCAAGTCGTCAACTTCCTATCCCCGAAATGGGAATGGGCCAATCAGGGGAGATCATCACTGACTTTAGGTACGTCCTTAATAGACCAACACTTTTGTCGTGATCGCGTCAGCTTGAAATCAAGTCCAGGTTGTTGTTCTTGTTGTTGTTGTTATTATTTACTGACTGGATTCTGCCGGAACCACTTACCTGTGCCAATTCACGAATCACCCAGGGTGGAGTAGAAGCAACACACTGGTACGCTAACAGTGCTTGTACCCCTTCGTCGACACAGTCCTGACCGGGCCACATGAGCAAACGAGTTCGATAGGTTTCAATTAGTTCAGAAGATTGATCCGGATATCCGTACTTGCGGAATCGACGCCAATTCGCGAAATCATTCAGACGCAATCTGTTAGTCTGTCCGCATACAAATGAGTGACACTTGCGGGGCTTGTTTGTGCCCGATTGGGACTCCGGGGACCACGATGAGGCCCACGAAGCTTCCTCACATTCCTCGGAACAAAATATACTCTGTTTAAAGAACGGAAATCATGGAAGAAGAATGTGTGCTTATTCACGTGAAAAAGTTAGTATATAGGAAAATTCAGTCATCCTTATTTGAAACTTCTGACCTAGGACAAATACTCACACAAATGCATATTCATGAACACATCAGTTATTGTATCTATCGATAACTTGTCCATCTAGGCTGTCCTGAATAGATAGGAGCCGGATTCGGGTGCTTCGATTGGCTGCGCTACACTTGCACGCTT